ACATGAAAAACCAACGTCAGTGTCGCTCAGTTAAAATTTGAACAAAATTACAACTTGATTTTCTGTTATAAAGCAGCTCTCCAGTGTGGAGCTAGCTAATGATAAAATATTTTTATTAGTGGGAAAAAAATGTTATTTCATTAAAGTGATAGTTTGGTTTGCAGAGATCAAAACTTGATCTATCTCAGGACTGTTTAGATTATCATAACCCTATACTGTATTTTAAGAGAGATTATGTTGTGAATAAAATAGTTTATCCAAAAATAAAGCGTCTTATCACTTACCTTTTTTTTTGTTTCTTATTCATATGAAAGGAGATGTTAGGCAGAATGATGACTTTTTCATTTAGCTAATTAAATGGTGAATGAGAGAGTTTCTCTGTCATCTCATTTGTGTGCCAAATATATTTATTTTGTATAAATTAATTGTATAACTGTAATTACATAAGAGAGATTATGTTGTGAATAAAATAGTTTATCCAAAAATAAAGCGTCTTATCACTTACCTTTTTTTTTGTTTCTTATTCATATGAAAGGAGATGTTAGGCAGAATGATGACTTTTTCATTTAGCTAATTAAATGGTGAATGAGAGAGTTTCTCTGTCATCTCATTTGTGTGCCAAATATATTTATTTGTATAAATTAATTGTATAATTGTAATTACATAATATGACTTTCAAAAGCTGAAGTGCTTACCTTTATTTGTTAGAATATATATAGCTCAATATTTTAACTAACTGCAAAAGCTGAATAATCAATCAAAGTCTACTTATTAATCAGTGAAATAATTGATGATTAGTCGATTAATCGTTCTAATAATCGTTAGATTAATCGATTATCAAAATAATCATTTGTTGCAGCCCTACAATATAGTACATTATACATGTCATTGTTTTAACCTAATGCTCCTAAAGTATCTTTTTTTTTTCAAACCAAAATTTTTCATAGCAAATCAAAACAATATTATATTGTTTTTGCATAATATTTAATTTTAACATATTATTAAAATGTTTAATTATTAATTTATATTTAATTTTAAACATTTAATATTTAGATTGTTTTGCATTTATTTATTTATTTTTGCAGTGGACAAATTTGAAACAAAGGGCAAAACTAACAGTAAGCTTTCTTTAATGTACATGAAGCTTTTTCTGATTCTAACCTTTTTTTCCGAGCTTTTAGTATGTCAGATGCTTTTTTGATTTATTGATTTATTAATTAAATTAGTTTAGCAGTTTTGTATATATATACTCAGTATTATTATTTATATTACATTCAGTATTATTTAGTTATATATAGTTTTTGCATAATATTTTTTTAATTTAGTTGTATGACTTTTTTGCAGCTGACAAATGTGAAAAATAGGCAAAACTAACAATAAGCTTATTTTAATATGCATGTCTTTTCTGAGGTTTTAAAATTTTGTATACTTACGATGCTTGTCTTTTCCGGGTACGTTTTATTTTCTACATCTCTCAGTAGTTTGAAACACTAATGCTGGTGTGATCTAGACTGATAATATCGTTCACAAAACAGTCAGTAGCCTATTATTTGGCTTTTCTCCATTATTGCATTTTGTCACCATTGTTTCCATTTGTTCTTTCATTTATTGCGCGGTTTAGAAGCTATCATAACGGCTGTAGCAGATATGATCCTAATGCAAATGTTGCACTAATACTGATCAATGCATACAAAAAAACCCTCTTTTAAAAACACTCAACAGCAAAGTTTAAACATCTGTCTGAAACAATTATAATCTCAGCCGCTGTTTTGGAACAGCAGTCCTATTCGTAGCATTGTTCAATCCCAGAATGCTCCTGTGAGGTGCTAACGCTGCTTAAGCTCAGGCCCGTCAGAGAGGCGATGGTCTGTGCAAACGAGCGCCCAAAATACACCTAATCTCACATTTCATACAACTGCGGCGCTCATGCTCAAGCCTGTATACACGGCTAATGAGCGGCAAGGAAAATAAACCTCACTTCATCTGGGGGCCGTGTATTTGTGATGGCCGGCAGCCCATGGGTTTGACTCTAAACACTCAGTGTGTCCCAGAGACCCGGAAGATTAAGAGTCCCGCGCCTCGGTATGAAGTTGCTGTCTGGGAAGTGTTAATGGACAGCTAATCCCGCTAATACCACAAACTGAGACTTGCTAAATAATCAGATTCAGAATCCCCAGCATCAAACAATACGGCAGTGGCCGCTTATTTGGACGCAGTCTTGAAATCTAAAACTGACTCGGTATTTGTGCTGAAAATCCCCCACCCTCGACCACAAAAAACACATCGCGAGGATGTTAGCATAGCCACCGACAGTCCAGCTTTAAAAACAGCAAAACCAGCCTCGGCCAAAACTGCTGGCTCTCGTTTTTGCAAACAGATGCATGGTGTGTTTTTTAAGGGATATGCGTGAGACAGATGCAGTTATTTGTGCATGTAGACGTGTTCCTGTAAGGTTCTGTTTTCAACACATATGTGACCCTGGAGCACAAAAGCAGTGTTAAGTCGCTGGGGTATATTTGTAGCAATAGCCAACAATACATTGTATGGGTCAAAATTATTGATTTTTATTTTATGCCAAAAATCATTAGGATATTAAGAAAAGATCATGTTCCATGAAGATATTTTGTAAATGTCCTACTGTAAATATATCAAAACTTCATTTTTGATTAGTAATATGCACTGCTAAGAACTTCATTTGAACAACTTTAAAGATGATTTTCTCAATATTTAGATTTTTTTGCACCCTCAGATTCCAGATTTTCAAATAGTTGTATCTCGGTCAAATATTGTCCGATCATAACAAACCATACATCAATTATTTATTCAGCTTTCAGATGATGCATAAATCTCAATTTTGAATGTGTGTGTGTGTGTTTCATGATTAAGAATTTTCCCCCAAATATCATAAATTTACACTACTGTTTGGGGTCAATAAGATTTTTTTCATGTTGTTAAAAGAAGTCCCGGATTCACTTTATTTTAAGGTGTCCTTTTTACAGTGTAATTATGCATTTAAGTACTGAGTAATATTAATTAACTACACTATATGGTTAGGGTTAGGATTAGGGTTTAATTAATTGTTATTATAATAGTAAGTACATGTAACGTGTAACAAGGACACCTTAAAATAAAGTGTTACCAAAGTCTCTTAAGCTCACCACAACTGCATTTGTTTCATTACAAATACAGTAAAAACAGTAAAAATTGTGAAATATTATTGTAATTTCAAATAACTGTTTTCTATGTGAATATCTGTTAAACTGTAATGTATTTCTGTTTTACTTTTGTTACTCTCACTTTTCATCAATTTAATGTGTGCTTGCTGAATAAAAGTAATAATTTATATTATATATAGCCTATACGTTCATATTTATTTCATATATATATATATATATATATATATATAGGTTTTTTCATGCAAAATATAATTTCTTGATTTTTGGTGTGATTTTTCATTAGGTTCATCCAGTCATCTGTAGTTGTTGAAAAGCATTAAATTAAATGCTTCTTTCATGCAATCTTGAAATGATCGTTCACCCTCAAAGAAGCGTCGAATCCCTTTGGTTTCTGTTGCTGGAGACGGCGTTTTTCTTGCGGTCAGGTTTAGTCCACGAGGGAAAAGAGAAGAGGTTGCCCTGTACAGTTAAAACATGTTTAATTTCCAGCTTTGGAAAAGCTAGGATGTGGCTTCAAATGAGACAAACCAAAGCAAATTGTCCTTCCTTAGCTCTTTCTGCATTAGCGCTGCACAATTTGTCAGGGAAAACGAGGCTGATGCTTTGGAGGAACTCAATGGTTCACAGCGCACACGTCTTCAAAGAGACCAAAGAAATGATGCAGAAACATAACAGTCTCATCAGACCGAGAGAAGCGAGTCCAGCGCTCCTGTATGCGCTCTTGTGGCCGCAGGCGCATAAATGGCCTCAGTGACACTGATGAAAGCGATGCGTTTTATTTAATTAAGACTAATTTAGTGTTTCTATCAGGGCAGCTCCACACGATTAATAAAACAAGCATATGTTTGGCTCTTTCAGCAAATGATTGAACATTTTCCAGCATTGTGATGCTGAATCGTCTCACTTAGCCATAACCTGAGCCTCAGTAACAGAAAGGCTTTGGCACGAGACGTCAGCCAGCATTCTGGCAAAGAAGAGCCTCGTCTTGTTCGGCAGATGCAAACATTTCTGACTTGCTTTCTTTCAGTGTATAATTATTATAAATTATCAGAGATTTTATAGGTATATAAGAAAAGTCATGTTGGGTTTGTATAGCTCATAAAATATTATAGTAT